TATCTTCTTACAAAATCCATTTAGGTTGATGTATTTATGCATTAATTCAAATATGCAATAAAGCTTCAAAAATGGTGGTCGAGTGGGTGGATCATGATTTTGATATTATAAAATTATAAATTTAATTATTATCAATACATTTTCGGTCGAGTCCCTCAAATATGATACTCTTAATTAGTGCAATTTGTAGGGATGAATAAGTTGACAAAACAAAATTATTTACAAAATATAAATAATAAACAAGGGCTCGAATTTTAGAAAATATAAACTCAACTGAAACAAGAACGAAGTAAGGGAAAATTCAAGTCGTGTGTAACACACATTTTTTTTAAAATCAATTCACTACCAAGATGCTAGGAGCGTTGTAACGTTAGTCTTTCAGGATAAAACGGATTACAATAATATAGTTGAGCACTCAAACTATACTAGTGAGAGTCATGGTGAACTAAAACAACATAAGAGGACTTCAAATTAGTGTAGAAGTGTTGGCAAAAATTTTCAAAGAATGATTTTAGGGGGGTGGGGGTGGGGGTGGGGGGGGGGGGAATCAAGGTTATGAAGTTCTAAATCAGCAGCCAACAATTCTGCCCAACACCAAAGTATTTATAGGAGAAGAAGAACTAAATAGCAAAAAACAATGACATTAGTATTTGAATAAAACCGTTTGTAACCCCTATAACTCGCCATTAAAACTGAAAATAACACATACGGTTACGTAGTTAATTCTTAGAAAATAAATTAAAATTAATAGAATTATCATGATTCAGTTGAGTTATCATGATTTACATCCTCCCAAATACTCTGTCGGGTTGGGGTGTGAGGAGCCTTTAGGGTTGGGGTTCAACCTTTTGGAAGAAAATAAATTAAAATTAATAAGAATTAATTCATAAACTAATTATTTTCAAAAAAAAAAATTCATAAACTAATTAGAATTAATTAATTTTACTGAAAAGTAAAATCACAAATTAAGTATACCCAAAAGGTACATCCAACCCGCAAGGTCACCTGGCCAAATCAGACCACAAATCGAAAGTGAATCCACATATATTTATATCACAAAATTATCACTTAAAATATTATTTTTGCTAACAAAATTTAATACAATAGAACTTAGCTCTCTTATGTAATTTGTTTTTGAACCCATCACCTCTCACCTAAGGGAGCAACCCGATATCAGTGAACTATAAGCCACTTGGTCTCTTATGTGATTTGTGCCTTTATTCGTCAATCCAAAAAGACAAAATAAATACATGCATAGAAGACAAAACATGCAGTTTAACAACGTTATTGTTTTCGTGCACTCAACTCTCCAAGTTTGCTCATTTATTACTGATCACATGCATTTTGCCCTAATTAGGTACAAGCTAAGCCCCCTTAGCTTGAAAACATTAGACTACCTATATTTGTATTTTAGAGTACTGCAAATATGAATACAACATCTTCTAATATAGACATAAGACAATATTCTCGTCTCGAACATATATAACTTAACTGATCAATTAACCCAAAAGAACGAAGTTTATAATAAATTTTGATAGCAGCCGCGCAGTGTATGTAGGGGTTGAACTCTATCCCTTCATTTATTTCTCTTTCCTTAGGAAGAGAAATAACACATCCCTTGCAGGAGGAGCTGCCTCTCTCTCTGCCATGTTGACTTTCAAACCTCAAAAATCGTGAATACTTTCTAAATAAACTACTGATATTGATGCTCTTAGTATATTAATCTTAGCAAGCAAGCCCGTAGTAGGGAGGTCGCCCAAATTTTCAATCTGACCCTTATCTCATTAGGTGGCGGGATAGGCTAGCCCCATAAGTTAAACATATTTTGACAATATATTAAGAGATAAATATGATATTAGATATTTAGAATATTTAATTATTATTTCTTATTATTTTGGTAAATAATGTATTCAGGTAAATACAATTAAGTAAATTTATTTAGTATTTAATAGTTAATTAGCATAATATTAACAGTATAAATGTGTTTTTTGGCATGAAAATTAAAGTACAATAATTTTAACATGATGTACTACAACTTCACAAATATAAAGAATACACATATAATTCAAAGATATAACTTGCATTGACTGTTATAATTATTTTAGTACCAAAACTTACAATTGCACATACAAAAATAGCTACTTATGTGACTAATTAAGATGTATATAAGTATATTTACAAAATAAGATAATTATAGGTTAAACTCATAGTTACCATGTAACTTAAGGATTAAAAAAAAAAAATCTCTTAAAATTTTTCAAATAATAGACATAAAAAAAATGCAATTCAATTTTACATTGTTAATATGTTAGGGAAAATAAATCAAATAGGCTCTCCAACCTTTTGATGAACAAATAATTGTGTCATTAAACTTTGAAGAGTTTCAATTAAGTATTATATTGTAAATAGTTAGTTTGATACATTAAAGCACATTAAATTAGTTGATAATCCTATTGGTTTACTTCTAAAAAATCATTTTTCCAAAAGGTTGAACCCCAACCCGACAGAACATTTAGAATGATGTAAATATGATAATTCAACTGAACATAAACCACAAAGCCCCCGCCTCACTGTCGCTGATAATTCAACTGAACATAAACCACAAAGCCCCCGCCTCACTGCCGCTGGTGAGACTCAATCTCTGGTCATTCTTCCAAACTTTCACCTCTATGACCAGTTGAGCTGTCACAGTGTCATGTCTCCCGTCGCCTTCCTCATATCTGAGGGTCGAATGTTGCCTTCCTTAGTTGAAGAAAGTGACTTTAAATATAATCTGGAGAAGATCACAACTGCCTTCTCCATTGAATAAGGCAATAAGATTGGGAAGTCACATAATCGTAATTTTTCTTGTAACCAGTGTTGTAAAAATTCTGCCTATGCACCGATTAATCCCTGCCTAGCGTATCACCATAATCGGTGGTCTTGACGGTTGGCCGGCTAGTCACGGCCGCCTAAGCGCCGCCTAGGTCGCCTAGGCTTCCTAGGCCGGACTAGGCCTCCTAGGCACCGACTAGGTCGCCTAGTCGGTCGATTAGCTATTGTTTCCTTCTTTTTTAAATGGATTATTTCATTCAAAACGATGTGTCATTTTTAGCGAAATAATCCTAGATTGTTCAAATTCTATGTTTTTTGGGTTAATATTTAATATTTTAGTATTAATTATTAAATAGTTTATAATTATCAAGTCTTAAAAATTTTTAAAAATTTAAACAATTTTTTTAAAAATAAAAAATACACGGGCGCCTAAACACCGATTAATCCCCATCTAGGTGCCCTCGAGTGTCTAGCGATTTTTTCAACCATGCCTGATTACTAGTAAACATAGTTTAGATTGACGATTTTGCTGAGATTAATTGCTTACTTGAAACTTTTTAAAGTTTGATCACATAATTATTATTTTTTATCAAAAAGTAAAATGTATTTAATTATTTTCTCTAAATTGTATTTATTAACATCAAGTTGCTGAAGGTGATGTATGAAACGCCATATTTTCCTTTTAAATGCCTATTTGGCATATTCTTATCGTTATCATCATTATTTAATCTTTATTATTTTTTCCCTAATTTAATTATTTTCTCCATCTTCTTGCACAACCATGGCCACTTCTGCAATTTTTAGCAACAAACGTCTATGCTTCAATCACAAAGCTTATGAAGACAATGCTTTCATAGTTTCATCTTCAGCCAAAAGAAGATGACATATTCCATTGCCAAAGCAGCCATGAATTTTAAAAATACTAATAATTAATATTCATTTCTCAAATTATTAAATTATTATATTTGGCACCATGTGTACACATTAGTCAAAATGGTCACATCGTCACCCTTATAAATTATATAAGTGTAGTGGATCGACTACTAAGAGCAAATTTATTAGTTGAGGATTTTATTTGAATTTTGTAGAGATTAGTAGGAGAGAGAATATGAGAGAGATAAGGGAAAGAAGAGAAAAAAAAAAAATTAAAAGGAAAGGAACTAACGCACTTAGCTGGCGCGCCTCAAGTGCTCGTGACGCGCACCTGAGGCGAAACAGTTTGTTTTTTTGTGGAACAGTGGGTTCCACAAAAAATCAATTCTTGCTGGGCAATCCAATCGTTCTGTCTCCACTCCTCTCTCTCTCTCTTCCACATGAGCAAAAAGACTGCAAAAACTTCTTAAAAAAACCAAAAATGGGTAAACTATAATAAATATAGTTCAGAGGTGTTTAATTCGAATATCATAATCGGAAGTAGAACCAAAGTCAAATACTTCACAATAAGAATGTAAAATATATGTGTGTGCGCGCACACACGCCCGAGACTTGGAAAATGAGAGTAAAATTTTAATTTTTTTTTTCTCATGAACAAAAATGAAATTTCATAAAGAATCACTTAGCAATTTTTTTTTTTCTTTAATGATTTGAATCTCATTCGAAGACATAAAAATAGTGAAACAAATAAGGCAATTAGATTTGAATTTGATAGGCATTCAAAAAAAAAAAAAAAGATTTGAATTTGATAGTAGGGTTCAAAAGTTGTTACAAAATAATTAAATATGTAACATAAATTATATGCATCAATTTACATGCTAGTGTTAATAATAAACATTTAATCTATCAAACATTTGTTAAAAAAAAGGTTAATACTATCAACTAATTAAAATATTAAATATTATTAATTAAATCCCGAAAAGAATAACTGAGTATCAGAACATTTTTTTTTTTTGCGGCACATATATAGTATATGATTTTTCTAATATGATCTATTTTTATTGAGTAATTTATACAGAAGTAAAATTTAACATGTACATATTCTCAAATAGTAACTGGTCAACGGATTGCCGGAAAATCTATGAGAAATCAACCGGCGCCGGAGGTGGAGGCGGTAGCAGCCGTATAACGCGCATATGACGTATGTTAGACAATGTAGGTCCTTTTTTACTATTTTTATTTTTAAATTTTTAAAATTGATTTTTACTGTATTACTAAATTTTTACAGAACCAATACAATACTACGGAGTTTACAAATACAGATGAATTTACATATATGGATAATGGATCCACCGAAAATTTGTAGAAAAGTAAGACCGTGATCTGATTTGATATCATTCCGACAAAACCCCTAGAATTCCACACTGCTAACCCATTCATTCAACGCCAATTGATCTGTAGCTTCTGTTCCGTTCATATTTAGATTTACACTCAAAGCTGCATTTCTCTTTCCAAGAGAAAAAGAAAAAAAGTGGGGTTTGATTGTATAGCTTTTTGTAATGCCTAGTGCTTTTAGTGTATAGTACTTTGTTTTTCTTGGGAACTGGTTGTGTTTCCTTGTCATTACACTTTGAGAGATTTGCATATCAATATTTTAGGTTGGGGTGTGCGGTCATTTTGTTGCTGGATCAGAATAGTTGGGAAGGGATTGGGTTCTGGTTTTGGATTTTGGGATTGTGTGGAGAAGTGGGACTGGTTTTTTCTTGATGAAATTAGCTGATTCTCTGGGTTGGTATAGCAAGGGGATTGTGGGTTTGGGATGAATTGAGTGTAAAGATTTGTCATTTGATTGGGATTGTTGGTTTTCAGGGTGGGATAAGAATTGGGTAAGTTGATGAGAAGGGGAGGGGATGAGAGGTGGTGAAGTGGGGGGATTGAGAGGACAACAATGACTACTGGGTCATCTGGTCTTCGTTCTTCAGGGAGTTATGGTTCTTTGCAGCTTCACCAATTCCAGAACGGTTCATTGTCAATCCAAACCTCGCCGCCTATCCCGCCACGAAAGCCTCCTAAGATGTTTAAGGAGAAGGAAGGGCTGTTCCATTGGATCTTCAAATTTGCGCCTCGAAGGAAGATTGGCATGCTGCTCTTGTGTGCGGTTTCTGCTGCCGTTTTCGTTTGGGTCTTGTATGTTGGCAAAGGTTGGGTTTCTTGGATTTTCCAGTTGCATTTATATGTTTACCCTTTTTGTCTGGCTGTTCTATGTTGGCAAAGATTGAGTTTCTTGTCTTTTTAATTGCTTTTATTTATCTTTAGCATAAATGCATAATGAGTGATTTTAGCTCCAGCAGAATCTTTGCTGCAATACACATTGTTTTCATGTATTCTTATTGTTATGTAAAACTATAATATTGCTACTGTCTATATCTGGTTAAAGTTTAAATTGCAGTGCTTTAATGCAACTCGACACTTTGGACCTAATGTGCAGGGTAATTTCTGGGAGGCTGTTGAATTGTGAGTAGTCTTAAAAGTTTCTGAAAGAACCGTAATGGTTGAGGAAGTTGTTTGTCTTATTAGTTAATGGAAGCACAATAACGATTAAGAAGTGTGTTGAGAGATGGGTGGATTCTATTGTTTACTTGTCTGAGTTTTCTGGGAAATTATAGGATGTATTCTATCTTTTGATTTATGGATATGATGGCTATGAAGATTACACATGAAATTTATTGTGCCTCCTCGTACTTTGGTGTTGCATGTTCTTCCTGTATATGAACATGTTGGTTCCTTGGACTAAGTTTTAGATGATGTTTTTGTCTTTCTCTAATTTGGTTGTCTCTATAATTGTCTCTTTGTCTAACAATCAATGCAACTTTTTACTTATTTGTAGGTGAAGATTCCCAAGTACTTGGAATGCCTAGCATCAACATTAACGCTACAATTAAAAATATAGACTTTTTTTCAGAACCTGAAGAAGAAAATAATAATCGCCAAACCGGTTTGGCTGAACCGAGTAGTATTGTAGGAATTGCATCCACTGCTCACCCTCCTCCTACTTCCCCTGTATATTTTACAGGATACAAACTTCCTCCCGGGAATCCTTGTGAGGGTTTCACGTTACCTCCACCACCAGCAGATAAGAAGAGGACCGGACCACGGCGTAAGTTTGGAGATACTTGCTTGAAGCTTATGCTTTATCTGATATGCTCCGTAGAAAACTAGAAACTGAGTTCTAATTACTCTAAATAAATTTTCCATGTTTTCTTTTCAGCATGTCCGGTCTGCTACCTTCCTGTTGATGAAGCCATTGCGTTAATGCCAAGTGCACCGTCTTTTTCTCCTGTTATTAAAAATTTGACTTATATACACGAAGAAAATTTAAACAAAAGTGAGTTTGGAGGTTCGGAGTTTGGTGGTTACCCTTCATTGAGTCAGAGGGAAGATTCTTATGATATAAGAGAGTCGATGAGTGTGCATTGTGGGTATGTTATTGTTATGTTAAACTTCGGCCAGCATATTGTTAGAATAAATTATGATTCTAGTCCACATACTATAGTGGTACTTTACTCTTTCTTGGAGATGAGTAGTCCTTAAACTAAAATTGGACAGAATAATCTTTCTTTCGGGTTTCACTAGCAGAATGACTATTGTTGTCCAATTTGTCTAACTTCCAATCTTGAGGACGGGCCATTGTTGTCTAATCTTCAGTCTAATAGTAGAACCCGAACTATTAGAACTTGTATAAAAATGGCCCTCCTGCTAGTGTTAATAGCAGAACTCTAGTTGAGGATTTTCGTGTCCACTTTTTAGAACTTGAAAGACCATTTTTTACGAAATTGATAATTGGGTAGTCAAAGTGAAATATCACTATAGTTTGGGGAGTAAAACCAAAATTTGTTTGTACTGTACTCTGTAATTATCATTCACCGAGTCCTTTAAAATTATGCTAAGCAATTGTTTTGTTCTAAATACTTAGTCTCTCTCTCTCTCTTGATTAAAAAAATATATTATTATGTCTTTGTGACAGATTTGTCAAAGGAGCCAGACCTGGACATGGGTCTGGTTTTGACATTGATGATTCTGATCTCGATGAGATGGCAACTTGTCAAGGCGTGGTGGTTGCATCAGCAATCTTTGGTATTGACCTCTCCGACTCGATTAAACTTTATGCCATGTTAAATTGGTGCCGTATTTAAGTAACAAGTACATTTTATACCAGGGGCCTTTGATGTAATACATCATCCGGCGAATATAAGTGAATATGCCAAAAGAAATGTCTGCTTTTATATGTTTGTGGATGGGGAAACCAAAACATTTCTAAGAAATTCAAGTGATCCTGATAGTAGTGCGAAAATTGGATTGTGGAGAATTGTTGAAGTCCATAACCTACCCTACAGTGATTCAAGGCGCAATGGAAAGGTAATTGTTTTTTTGCAGTACATTATTTCTGTTGAGCATATAATCATTAATGTGCAATCCAACTATCAGCTTAGGCTTTTAGTTGAGATGGAGCACATGCTTCAATTTGGTATCAGAGTCAGACCAAAGGTCATGGGTTCGAATCAGCCCGTGTCTGAATCCATGAACCCGAACTTTTCTGCATGTCTGGTGGGACATCACTTATCATGTAAGAGATAAGAGATTCTATAATGGCTGTCCGCCTCTCGGTTGCAGGTTCCAAAGCTTCTACTTCATCGCCTTTTCCCAAATGCCCGCTATTCTATGTGGATTGATGGAAAGCTTGAACTGATTGTGGATCCATATCAAATTCTTGAAAGGTAATATTACATAGTGCTAGGAACTTCTTGTCAAATAGTATTTTGGCCTGAACACCTTTTAAACCTTAGATCTTTGATGGTGGATGTTGTATCCTGTCCATTGAGTAAAGTTCTTTAAAATTGGAGAGATTATCTGTCTTGAAGCTAAAGAAGTTGATACGTTCCAGGTTCTTGTGGAGAAAAAACGCCAGCTTTGCCATTTCAAGGCACTATAGGCGTTTTGACGTGTTTGTTGAAGCGGAAGCCAATAAGGCTGCGGGGAAGTTTGATAACGCTTCCATTGATTTCCAGATTGAGTTTTATAAAAAAGAGGGCCTTACTCCATTTTCTGCAGCTAAATTCCCGATTACAAGTGGTGAGAAGCGGGTTCCTTGTCTTCCTATTCTGTTCCCTCTAGGACGAGAACTTTGGCGTTCTTTGTGTTTGATAAAATCTTTGTTACGTAATTTGGCGTGCAGATGTTCCCGAGGGATGTGTGATTGTTCGGGAGCACATTCCAATTGCTAATCTCTTCACCTGCCTTTGGTTCAATGAAGTAGACCGTTTCACTCCTAGAGACCAGATTAGTTTCTCGACCGTAAGGGACAAGATCAGGTCAAAGACGAATTGGACTGTACACATGTTCCTGGATTGTGAACGACGCAACTTTGTGCTTCAGGTAACCTTTCGAAATCCCAACTGGTTTAAACTCATAGCCGTATTCTTCTTTCCCGTCATGTTCATTTAGGAATTGTGGGTATCACGTTTTTTTTTTTTTTTTTTTTTTTTGGGGGTGGGGGGGGGGGGGGGGGGGTTGGGTGGTATCACACGCATTTACTAACCCGAACTGTTAAGAGTCCCACATTAATAAAATAAGAGAGAACATATGGGTTTATAAGGCCATGGGTTAGACTAGCTAATTGGTTGGATTCTATCTTTTAGTGTGGTTTGGCCCATGTGCATTATAGCCCAATCTTAGTTTATAACGTGGTATCAAAGGCTGTTCGGTCATTTTGTAGCTGATATAAACCAACATTTTGAACTAGAGTGCAATTATTCAAATTTTCGGTTGGTCTTGTGTAAGACCGTCTTATGTGAACCACAAACGTAATACTTTTTTAGGATCCTATAGAAAAGTTTTACATTTTTGTTAAAAAGTATTATACGTCTCACCCAAGATAGTCTTACATAAGTTTTTGTATTTTCACGTTGCATACTATCCACTTTACATTGATTATATACCAACCTGTGGATAGTTTGTTATTGTTTCCAAATTTCGCAATTATGTAGGGTTATCATAACGATATTCTTGAGCGCCGGTCTTGTATGAGATCATCTCATGTGAAATGTGTAATATTTTTTAGTGAAAAAAAAAGTATTGTGCATATCACACAATTTTTTGCTTTACATACGTTACATACCAACCCGCTTTGCACATTATATATAAGCCCGTAGATAGTTTGTTATTGTTTCTAAATTTCTCGCAAATATGCAGGGTTACCATCGAGATGTCCTCGAGCGTAGGTCTCCCCCGCCTCCATCTGTTGCCCTTCCTCCACCCCTTATTCTCGACGGAACCCTCAAGGCTACCGGCAATAGTCCGGTTAGAAAGGGTCCACAAAAGCGCGGGAGAGAGAGAAGGTCGAGGCGTCATCGGAAGGCGTTGCCCGATGTAAGGATGTTAGCTTAAGAGTTAAGAGTGGAGAAAATTTTGGTGAAGCAAAAAGAGTTCATATTCTTTACTTCCATGTGTTCAAGAGGGATGTATGCAGAGCTAGGAATTGTGAGATATGAGTGTTGTTTTTCCACATGGGGCAGCTATCAATTTTCTTGTTAGTTTTAGAAAATTAAAATTGATTTATTTATTTTTGGTGTATATATCTGAGATTTAATAATTTTGTCTCATAGGTGGTGGGTGGGGCCTTGGTTCTTTTTGATCTTGAGATGTTATAGCAATGTTGTACTACATTGGACCATTCAAATGTTAGTTCATGCAGTTTAGATTTCAAGAAATGTTGGAACAAATACCCATGACAATATTTACACACCCTAAAATGTTATTAGAGCATCCACATCAATGCATTTTGGGTAAATTTTTGAGGAGACCAATCTTAGGTGGAGAAGAGAGGGAGAGGAGAGAGAAGAAAAATGGTCTCTTGCAAAGCATTGATTTTTAGCAGAATTGTGGGACCCACCAAAGAAAACATCTTTCCTCACTGCAATAGCGTGAAACACAACACAACTGAGAGGGAGATGAGAGAGAAGAAAAATGGTCTCTTACAAAGCATTGGTTTTTAGCAAAATTGTGGGACTTACCAAAGAAAACATCTTTCCTCACTTCAATCGCGTGAAATGCAACACAACCGAGCACGTTAATGAAGGTTCCCCCCCCCCCCCCCCCCCCCCCCCCCCCCTTTTTCTCTTCCCTCACATCTTCTCTTTTTCCGTCACACATGTAAAAAACGTTTCAAAATTTGTAATTATTAGAGATGCTCTTAGAACGTCAAGAATATCATGTTGGTGCCTTGAAATAGATAGTCGAGTGAATAAAACATAATTATTATGATAGAAAGTTATGAGTTTAATTATTATCAGCACAACAACACTCTCTCAGTCGAGTCTGTCACATATAATCTTCCTAATGTGATTTGTAAAGTATTACATAAAACAGAGTTTACTCAATTTATACCACTGGGTAGTGTTTGTGTATCATCACTATCATCATATCACAAAAGACGAAATTTCTTTACCCTTAAGTCTCCACACCTCAACTCTGACAAAATAGTGGAGGAATAAATCCCGGATGGGTTTCTAAAACTTTTCATTATGCCCAACTCAGTTCTGCAAATTGAACCAAAAAAGCCATGTACATGGGGAATAATCACTACAGAATAAAACACCGGATCGACAAAAGAAAAAAAAAAACATCGCGATTCTAAAATACCAGAATGTTTTCCTGCTACTCGTATTTACAACGCTGCTCTAAGATCATCTGAAACTAGAAAGCATGGAAGTTAACGGGTTGTTTATTCCCCGACTATGTCATTCCTCACCTTCGTATACACGTAGGCGTGGACTCCGGTTACCATAGTTCGCGGTTATTGTAGTAATCTGCGACGATCTTGGATTCAAAAACCCGAACTTCGTTGGCAGAAGGGCGCTGGCGTGAACCTCGTTGGACAGCAAAAAATGGGAGAAGGCGTGCGTTGAAGAGCACCACATTCACGAGCCCTGATGATATACTAACATGTAAGGAATTATATGCGAGGAAATTAATGAACGTGCTCCAAAAACGCGAATCAAATCATGTATGGTACTAGCTTCGGGCTTAAAGACAACATTCTCGGTTTTTATAAGCAGAATGGTCGTTAAAAGATGCTACTGACTCTATTACATTGTAGTATCTGTTCAAACATACTTTCTCAACCTAATGAAGCACAAAGAGTCAACAATGACTCCACTGAGGCTCGATCTCATGACCTCCCACATAGGAGAGGTCACTACATGTCATCTGAACATGTAAAAGTGTTTATATAAGAAGTGAAATATCCAAAACAATAAAGATGCCAAAAATATGTTGGATAGAAGAATGCAAAATGGGAAAAGAAAGAAAATTACCTGAGATTATGAAGATTTGGCTGTGAGTATCCGAGAAATCTGAAGCCCTCGGCTGAAAGCCTCGTTGAAGAGTATCCTCGTTTGCATGGATTGAAACCCGGGCATCCAAGATAGGAGTGCCAAAGGAGCCAAGACGATTAGTCCAAATATCATATCGTATAGACGGGCCAAGGAGACGACAGTTTCCCAAACCACGCTAGTCTCGAGAAAGGGGCGCAGCACGAGGGCAATTTGGATGATACCCCATCCCGTGGGTATAAACGCCAAGAAACTAGTAATGAAGTCGAGAACCGTAAACTTGGTGAATTCCAGTAATAAAACAATAACGAGTACCGTGATCACGGTGACGAGCAACTGCACCACTCGGTAATATATGTGCTGTTTCATGGCGTATTTGTCCTTGGCATATGCGATGGCGATATAAATCGCCACGGCTGCGACCATGTAGATCCAAGACAGCAAGTAAACCGAAATACTCGTGTCCTTGCCGGTAATTTGCAGGTGGTACACAATTCCGTACTGGAAAAAGAAGAAACGAAGGTCTAAGATAATCTCGAGCAGTTTTCCCCAAAGACCGGTCGCTCTCAAGTGTTCCTGCTCCTCGTACCACCACGTTTCCCAACTCTGATCGGCTTTTGCAAACACCCCTCGGTTATACCAAATCCAATTCATGAAATCGTCGAAGTCGTATACAGTATTCAACCAGTCGAACCCCGTGGGATTGAAAGCGAAAGGAGCCATAATCCACGATAGCACAAGGAACCAGCTCGAGATAGTCATAGCTATATACACGAAAGTATTCTTAGCCAACGGGCTATTCGAAGCATACACTATAAGAATCACACCGAGCTCGATCCCCTTTACAAAATGGCTGCGAGCATACAATCGGTAATTCTCGGCAAATCTTTTGTGCGAAACAACGAAGCCACGGCCAGTTGCTCGATACTTGGCACCCCCGTGCAGAATGGTCCGACCGAAGAAATGTGCACGGGTTCCCATCGAGAAGGTAAAAAATAGTGAAGAAAGCTGAAACTGCATCGTTATAAAATCCCAAACCGACGAAAGGAACCCATGCTCCAGAGAGTTCTCAACGATCATTGGAAGGGCGGTAAATGCACCGATCTGGATTACAAACTGTTGATTTAAAATTGCCCCGAGGGCTTTGTTGTTGGTGGCATTGCTTCTCGCATAATCTTCAACGCCACTGAGCGCAAGGTATAGGCGGCCCCACAGGAACGCGTATACCATGATTACTACCATCATGTTGTTGAAGAAGAACCCCACGGTTGAGTAGAAGAAAGAAAGCATGCGAAAGAAATCTAGTCGGTGCCCCAACCTGTACACATCTCGGCTCAAAACTTGCTCGCCATTACCACTAGCGACCTTAGCCTCGAACATCGAAATCTGATTCAACCCAACATCCCTTCCTTTACCAACTTGTATGTATTCATGGTGGGTCACATTGCCACCTCGAAGAGTACAATTAAAACCTGCGTATATATCTTCACTGATATTGATCACCCTCGAAGCCTTGCTAATCCCGCCCCGAGACAAGAACCAGAACCTATCGAAGACGTCGGGATGACCATAGTGCATACGTACCTTAAGAGGATTCGCCAGAACACGCTGCCCCAGTGTCACAAAACTTGTTTCCTGAGCAGACATGAACCAAGCGAGAGACGACACTGAACCGGTAAAGATGTTTTCACGAACCCCGAGAATAGTAGGCTTCCTGATTCCGTGATAGAGTTTAAATTCCTCCAATAGATTTCGCATCTTGAGTGCCTCCTCAAAGTAGTTATCTTGGTTCATATCAATCGTTTGAACTGCCTCGCCTCTAGTGAAGATAATGGCATGGTTTTGATTCTCGGGTTTGCCCTCCCCGAGCTTCAGTGGCCCAGGCAACTTTATGCGATAGATTTCCACCTCCTTCTTCAACTGTTGATCGTACTTCACTAAGACAGAGAAATACTGCACGCCATCTCTACCCAAGTGAACCTCGTCAACATAAGCAACACGGAGTGCTTCATAATTCCTCATCAAGTATGATATCTCCTCGGCACGTGGATCACCCTTTGCCTTCTGAACCCCGTAGACCTGGCAGGTCACCACATAAGTGAATTTCATTAGAGCAGCGCCAAACTCGTGTCCTTTAAAAAGAAGTGTCACACTGCTACTTGCTCGGTGGAGATTTCGAGAAGACGCTGGATTTCCACAGGCTAACCCATCAAAGCCGTTGTTTTGGTTCAGTGAACTCAACGAACCTATATCGAGTGACCCATGCCTTATGTCCACCTCCGATGCAGAGTCAAGGAAAGAAAGCATCTTTAGAGCCCTGTAATAATACATCATTCCCCTAACAGTCCGAGATAATGTCTGGCCCCTATACGATGCCCAGAGACGAAGATCCCTTATTTTGGAAAGCCATATCTCATTCTCGTCGTTCATTCCTTCTCTACGCATTCGTTCTAAGAAGTTCTCCCATTCATCTTCATAAATCTTCTGGAGGTAAAATATGATAGAGATACCATCTTGATTTTCACTTCGGAGACTTTCTTTGCCATATATTACTTCTTCATCATAGTAAGGAGTCAAGACACTGAAGGCCATCATTTTCTCGACCTGGGTAGCACGCGGAATATTCATAAAAAGCGAGTTGCTGAAGAAAGCAAGACGCCGTCTAGCTTCAATGTTTTTCGGAACATTATGCATTGAATCTCGGGAAGTGAGAATTGCCTGGAGACGACGTAGTTGCCTATAAAAGAAAGCATCTTGAATGTCGGGGAACGCAACAGCATTTTCAAACAGAAACCCGGTGGTGGTATCCTGGTTAAGAGGCGCAAGGCCTTCCTGCCTCAACTGTGCCACGGGCTTCTTCACTTTCGGAAAATCCCGAACCGAAAGCTCGTACAGTGCTTGCATTACATTCACGACCTTACTCAAGTCCTGCTTCGGCAAGAGCAGGAGCCCAACGAGAGACACTAACTTCTCGTGAATCCGAGGCAAAACTGTTGTCTTGTACACCTTTGTGAATTTTTCAAAGCGAATGCAATCATCGATATCCATAAACAATTTCGCAACGATGGAGTGCTCTTCAGTATCATATTTAACGAGCTCTAGAAGCAGGAATTTGATGCTATCATACGCCTCAATAACAGCGCACCGCCTATACTCGTTCTTGCATATCCTAAACCACACCCATTGGTCGGGTGCCTCCCCCAACTCCGTTGCGTGGCTAAGAGCAAGCAGCAGCTCGTTACACAGGAGAACGCACGGCCAGCGAATAACCTTAATATCCCAACAGTTCGGTGGCAATTCCAGTAGCTCGAGCTCTTGATCACTAAGGAGGTCCTCTTCCCTCATAGTTATGATTATCTCGTTCCATATTAACGCAAACCTAGTGGCTTCCACCTGGCTCGATTCAATCTTCTTGTACGGCTGTCCAAACCCGTATCTCAGTTTCAGCCGATGGGTTGCATCCCGCAATTTCTGAACCAGCGTAGCCTTAGCAATTGTTCTCTGATCTTCGGGCATCAAATTGAACTGCAACGCACTTGCAAAGAATTGGAACCGGAGTCTAAGCTGTTCAATGTTGCGAATCTCGCCTAGATGTGACAACAGCCCGATTGTGCCCCCAACAACTGAATAATACACTGTATACCAGATTTGCAAATCCACAAGATATATTAGAACAACCGGAAGCCACAACATTACAACCGCTAATTCGTTGGTGCTACCAAAGAATTCGTGCCACTTATAGTGCACATTTGGGTCATTGTTGAGATCCAGAAGAGCCCTTGTCGGGGTGACCAGGGGCTTTATCTGAAGAAAATAACTGAACGAGAATTTCGAAGCCAGTACCAGAATCCAGAACAGCGTGTACTTTATGTTATTGATTAGTCCTTCCCTAAGCCCACGGCCAACATATATATGACTGTAGAACCACCACGTTACCAAGTACATAAATGGGATGTTTGCTTTTTCCAGCAGATTTCGGATCCAAGGAAGAACAAAGAGAATCAGAGCAAGCAACTCCGGGGTTACAAACACGAGAGCAGTCTTTAGAAACACGATAATCCTGTCGTCAGCTTCACCCGACCACCTCCTATCAGCGTTCTTCTGGCTCCAAATCCTCGCATAAAACACCCCAAACACAACCGTCCAAGCAGCAGCAACTAAACTCTTCAACACCATCCTCACACACACCCACATAGTCTCTCTCGAAACCAAACTATACTGAGTCCCGGCATCAAGAACCGACTGGACAAACCTCAACCCAGCCCACGTTATGAAAAGCGAGAGCAACTCCACCTGCACATCCCGCCTCTCCAGAGCCTCCCACGGATAGTCCGTCCCTTCCCAAGCAACAATAGCCCCCGCCTGAAAGAACAATATCAACAGCACCCACAGCCTGTCAAAGCTCCTAAACACATTCCAAAACGTCCTCTGCTCCACAAACCCCGTCTTCCCCACTCTTCTCTCCTCGTCGTGGGAGAAAAAGCTACACGATGAATCGAGAGGCCATTTCAACTTCTTGAAACACCTCCTACTCCAAAAATACTCGTTTATGTCATCGTAGTTCCTCCAAGCCGAATGGGGAGCAGTCCCATTCCTACTCCTATCAACCTCGCGCTTAATTGCAACATATATAGGTGTAATCACATAATCCAAGAACCCAAATTGCTTACAAGTCCAGGGAATATAAGGCTGCCCAGTTTGCTCATCAATGTGACCATCAAGGATATAATTGAGTTCCATAGCCATATGATGAAATATAAAGCATAAACATTCAGGGACGAACCGGACATTAGCGGCCTCGCCCCAAATCAGCAAAAAGAGGCATACATACAAAAGCTCACGGCGGAGAACCTCCGGGCCTTGGCGGGTCCTGGGGAGGCGGATTTGGGATTTTTTGCAGTGGAAGGAGCACCAGGAGGAGTAGTTCTTGAGGAGCTTCTTGCGGAAGTGGTGGAGGACGTTTTGGTCGAGGCGGTCCGGCGGCGGCGGCGGCGATTGGCGCATTTGGGAGTTGGAGAGGTGGAGGACCAAGTGTTCTCTCTGGTTCTTCACGCTGTCGTCTTGGAACCCGAAGAAGATCCCCAGCCAGTCCACGAGGTCCATGGAGTCTCGCCACTGAACAAACGGCGGCTTCCGGAGGTCCCCCACGAAGCGGAGGGCGGCCGCCGCCGCCCGCACTTCCGGGTACCGGAGGGACGGGTGGTCCGCCAGCAGGTTATGAATCGGAATGATATTGAACACTTCATAATGCGGCGGCGCAGCCGCCGGTGGCTGCTCCCGGCCGCGCGTGGACATAGTACGCTGCCGGAGATTCATCGCATTTGCTCCCTCACCAGATTCAACCCCACGGGTCTCCTTAAAAACCTTATCTCCACCGAATTCTCGAACCCAGAAACACTGCAGCAGCTAACGTAGTACCAACCTATCTATACACACACATATAGACACATAATTCAAACAAACGCTGTATATTCTAAGTGGGGAAGAAAAGGACATAACTGAAAAACGGAGAAAAAGGCGAGACCTTTGTGGCTTTCTTGGCGTGGTTTACTGGTTTCTTTTGCGGAAGGTTGAAGAAGAAGATGATGAATTGATGATACGTGGGGGTTACAATTAGCGGTGCGTGAAGACCACTCCCCAAGGGCGCGAGTGAGGATGCGTCTCTCTTGGGTCGTAAATGCGCTCTGTGTGGGGCCCCTGGGCAAAATGACAAGTGAAAAACTGTGAAATCAAACATGGCATTATGGGGGTGCGGGAATATAAAGATGATGCAAAGAATATACATAATTATATACACTATAAAAATAAAAAGTAAAAAAATTTCAAAAAAAACACGTGAAAACTGAAAAGTACAGTATATTTATGCTCCAACAGAATTTTTTTTTTTTTTCCTAATATGCTTTCTTAACCCCTATACTCTCTGAATTTCAGAAAGTAAATTTTAAACTAAAGTTCTAATTAAGAGCTACCGAACTAAATTAGTCAAGTTGTTAGTTTAATAACTGAGCATTTCTATATTCAATTCAATTTTTTCAATTTCGGTCCAAATTGTTGTTGGCTTAATAACTGAGCATTTCTATATTCAATTGGATTTTTTCAATTTCGGTTCAATTTTGAAAAAATGAAACTATTCAGTTTAACATTATAGTTCGATTACGGTTAATATCTTCTGCAAAATCTCTTAACTATAGAAAACGACACGATATAAATTTTGATCCAAAGACTGCACTGAATTGAAAGAGAACATACACTGCAAATTTGAATAACTACAATGAGTTTCCAGTGCTTGACACCAACACGTACTGGAATTTCAATGTTTCAAAAAAATTATTTCAAAAAAAATAAAAATTTCATTGCCAAATTCAATGTTCAAACTTCAAGGGAATCAAAGCTAGAAATGCAATCAGAAATTTCCAGTCTTATTCGACACTCGAGGCTCAAGCAATTAAAAATCAAAAATAAAAAAATCATTTATGTTCAAGCCTTCTTTCATGGCGGAAGATTTCCAGTTCAAACACAGAAAAATCAAGCCAGAAATTGGAGGAGGAGTACCTTGGTCCACTGGAGAGGAGGCGAGGCTTGGAGCAGGTCTCTGGTCTCCACTCTCCGATCTCCGGCGACGAGCATCGAGCAAGCTAGAACGAAAACGGCTACGAGAATGAAGGTCTTTGCCGCAAGGATGAGATTAGTCCAGGCCTCTTTTGTATGGGCTTAATTAAGGCCTAGTTAAGTTTGACTTGTTTAACCAAAAAAAGTTAGGTTTAGACTCATTTCGAAGTCTATTAAATTAAATAAGTCAGACCTATATAATTATACTCCATAAATATTATGTTCACCTTCAAACCTACACACACGAAAGTCAGTAATTATATCGTGAACCATGGTCTAAAACGGCAGACACTATAGTATATCTAAAGTCTAAATTGACACTGTCTTACGTATTATTTTTATTATATTATCAAATGAAACTGTAATTTAATAGAAATGAATGGAACTGCAATTTAATAGAAATGAAACTGTAGTTGTGTTGAAATGAAACTGCAGTGTATACAAAATTAAACTGAATAACAATTTCACATATTTGAGTGTATATTGTCCAACGAAATCATAGTTATATCAAAATGATACTGTAATTGTGTTGAAATGAAATTGTAGTGCATATTTAATGTCCAGACCAAAATGCATTGTGGGACACGGTCCGTATAATTTGTCCACGAAAGTTTAGTGATGTAAGATTAATTTTATCACCCTTATAAATTTGTTATTACAGAGTAACAAATTATGTACAATAATTTTTATGCCAAAAAAAAAAAAACAGAAAAAATATAAACGAAATAATGTACGTGGAGTTTATTGAGCAAACATTATTATTATTATTATTATTATTATTATTATTATTAATTAATAATTAATTAATTAATGTTGGCAATAATTTGTTAATTATTGCTGCTCAGCTTCACCATAGTATAAAAAGCTGCAGATGTAACATAATACCCAATTACCCACTTTGCAAACAATTATTAAAAGAAAAGTGACAGGTCTAATAATAATAATATAATTGAAGAACGAAAAATGTGATTCTACCATATTTAAATCAAATTTAGATTCTAAAAATATGAAGTCAATATAATATGGAGGAAATAAATTGAAGAACACAATGCAAAAGACAATTAAAAAGCCTTCACCACGTGGCACGTGCCCATGTGGCCAATTGAAATTTGTACACTTAGCCGTTAGCAACTTAGCACTAAAAAAAACAATAAATAAGTAAATAATGGAGGCATAGAATATTAATTTTGAAAAATATTTATTAATAAAACATTATAAATTTATAAGAATATTCTAAAAACCGTGTTCACTATTATAAATTAAAATGGCAGAAATATTTTTGTAAATAACAAATATTTTGTAACCATTATTTATAAAAAAATAAATAATATTATTTCCCCTCTTAATATGACAATAATTTTTTTAGGATGTTGTTATAAGGGCCAATTTTTTTCAATATCTTACTTGTCAATAAAATTCTTTTTATTTATTGATTACTATAAATTGGCCTACCCCATTTCACATTAAAAACAAGAATATATTTATTAATTAAATACGAATTATATATTGTTACATTAGATTATGAAAATTGTGTCGCGGTAACATGATCTTTTTTTCATTCATCGCCATAAATTGGCGAGCCCTACTCAACATTAAAAAAATGACATATATTTATTAATTAAATATCACGTAAAAAAATAAAAATTAATATATAAAATCAAGAGAAAATGTAGTATTATTCTTTAAAAAAAAAAAAACATCACTATTTTTATATTTATTTATGGTGATCTTGATATTGTAAACTTTTTCTTTAAACAATAAATTATAAGCTGAATCTTCCATTCATTTAATTAAATGTATAAAAAGATACCATGTTAGTTTATGTAGTTTTATTCTACTAGTATTTGCGCCCGTGCGTTGCACGGAATAGATTTGTTGTAATATATTAAGAATATTTGGATTGATATATAATTATTTAAATTAGAACATCAAATATTATATAGTTCAATTGAATATACGGGTTGGATCATTTATGTGTTTTTATATTATCATTGTATGAATTTAAGCAAATAATTGCTCAAATTAATAGCTAATGTGTAGATGTATGCATGTAGTGTTATAACTTTGGAGATTTTTTTTTTATCATTGTTTAGTATTTTTTTTTTATAAATTAGACAAATGTGTTCGTTCTCTAGCAACTCAGTTATATGAATGAATTGTTATCTTAATTCATTTGTATGGAGGATATTTTTTTTGTCTATACATATAACAATTTTGTCATTTAAAAAATATAATATCAACGATTTTATTTACACATTGTTGAAACCTCTTTGTAGACGACATTGGTAGTAGCAACACAATCTTGTCCATCATCGTCTAGAGCTAACACCTTCAATTGATCAGGATGGGTGACTCGGTGAAAATATATAATGGTATAATATTAGTCAATTAGCGATCCTTTTATATTTTAAATAAATTAGTAATATCATATTCATTTTCAGTCAATTATTCTTTTGTATTTTTAGTCAATTAGAATATTATATGGAGTGATATTTTTACCTAATTTGTGTTCCATTTTTAATTGAGGATGTATAATATTATTATTGAAATATTTATGTTCCATTTGTAATTTACCTTTACTATTGTTTAAAATATGCATTTACTATTTATGATGTAGAATATTATTATTGAAATATTGGCGTTCAATTTTAGTTTCCCTTCCATTTTAATTAAAATGCAATGATCTAACCATTTATTTTTTTTTCATATTAGTCAATTATGGATAATTTTTTATTTGCAGTCAATTATTAATATTCATTTCCTTTTAAATTTTCAATCCATTAGTGATATCATATTTATTTTCATCCAATTATTTCTCTTTTATTTTTAGTCAATTAATCAATTAGCGAACTAAAATATCAAATGCAATGATATTTTTACCAAATTTTTGTTTCATTTTTAATTGATGATTTAGAATATTATTATTGAAATATTTCCATTTCATTTTTAATTTTCGTTACATTTTTAATTTACATTTACTATTGTTTAAAATATGTCTTTAGTATTGATGATGTAGAATATTATTATTGAAGTATTTCCTTTTCATTTTTAATTTACCTTTACTTGATAGTGTAGAATATTATTATTGAAATATTTCCATTCTATTGTTTAAAATTGTGAAAAATTTATGACATACTTGTGATTTGATGTATTATACTGTGTAATATTATTGTGAAAAATTAAAATGCAATGATTTGACCATTTTTTTTTCTATTTTAGTCAATTATGAATCTTTTCTTATTTTCAAACAATTATTAATATTCATTTCCTTTTTCAATTAACCTAATGTTTGTTGCTAAGTACCTTGTGCTCATATGACATGTAGTGACCTCTCTCATGTGAGAAGTTATGAGATCGAGCCTTAGTGAAGGTGTTGGTTGAGAAAATATGTTTAAACAGATACTTATTTATTTACCTAATTTTCATTCCATTTTTAATTGATAATATAGAATATTATTGTGAAATATTTTTTTTACTATTGTTTGGGCGAGAAATCAAGTAAATAGATTTTTTTTTTAATTATATTATAGAATTTTTTTTTTCTTTTTCTATTGTTTGGGTGTGAAAGTAAGGAAGAAGGATTTTCTTTTTAATAATAGTAAAGATTGAGAATCTTTTTATATTTTCCTATTTAACTGATTATTATTAGTATTAATCAGTGACTTTCGTTTCTTTTTCTATTTTTAGTGAATTAAGGATCTTTTTATATTTTCTATTTTAATGCTAACTTTTAATTTTACTGATTATTATTAGTATTAATTATTCAGTGAATTCCATTTCATTTTCTATTTTTGTAAATTATGAATCTTTTTTTTTCAATTTGTTTTGTAGGATTGTTTTTACTGTTATTTTTATTATGACCCCTTTTTTAAAAAAAATCTTTCATTTTTATTGAATTAAGAATCCTTTTTTATTTTCAATTTTACTGATTATTATTAGTATTAATCAGTAAATTTCGTTTATTTTTCCATTTTTAGTGAAGTAAGGATCTTTTTTTTCTCCTTCATATTTTACTGCTAATTTTCTGACTGATTATTATTAGTATTAATTAATCAGTGAATTCCATTTCCTTTTCTATTTCTCGTGAATTAAGAAACTTTTTTTATTGTTCTAATTTTTGGTAGAATTTTTTGTTTTTACTGTTATCCTTATTATGACCCTTTTTTTTTCACACCCTTACGACACAATCACACATATTTTTTGTTGTAATATATTAAGAATATTTGGATCAATATATAATTATTTAAATTAGAACATCAAATATTATATAGTGCAATTGAACATATGATTTGGATTATTTATGTGTTTTGATGTTATCATTGCTTAAATTTGAGCAAATGATTGCTCAAATTAATAGCTAATGTGTAGATGTACGTATGCGGTGCTGTAATTTTGGAGATTTTATTTATCATTGTTTAGTATTTTTTTTTATATAAATTAGGCAAATGTGCTCATTCTCAAGCAACTCAGTTATAGGAATGAATTACTATCTTAATTCATTTGTATGGAAGATATATATTTTTTTGTCTAGATATATAGCAAATTTTTCATTTAAAAAAAATATCAACGATTGTATGTACACATTATTGAAACCTCTTTCGACATTGGTAGTAGCAACACAATCTTGTCCATCATCGTCTATAGCTAACACCTTCAGTCCATCATGATGGGTGATTCGAGTGAAAATATATAATGGTAGAATATTAGTCAATTAGGAATTTTTTTATATTTTAAGTCAGTTTGTAATATCATATTCATTTTCAGCCAATTATTCTTTTTTTATTTTTAATCAATTAGTCAATTAGAATATCATATGCAATGATATTTTTACCTAATTTTTGTTCGAGTTTTAATTGATTATGTATAATATTATTATTAAAATATTTCCGTTGCATTTTTAATTTAACTTTATTATTGTTTAAAATATGCCTTTATTATCTATGATGTAGAATATTATTATTGAAATATTTCCGTCAAATTTAAGTTTCCATCAATTTTTAATTAAAATGCAATGATCTAACCATTTTTTTTCATATTAGTTAATTATAGATCATTTTTTATTTGCACTCAACTAT